ACACACTCACTTATTGACACATTCACTCACACACTCACTTATTGACACATTCACTCACACACTCACTTATTGACACATTCACTCACACACTCACTCATTCAAACACACTCATTCATGCACTCACTCACTCGCCGACAACATCGCAAATCATCAGAGGCAACCTACGCGATGATCGACTCGTTCGTATAAGATTCTCGAAACTGTTCCTTGGCGTTCAGATACGCTTGCAGTCCCGACTCGAACGCGTTGTTCTGTAGATGTTTCGTCAACTCGGTTGCCATGCATAGAATCGACTGGAACCTAAGAAGATAGCGATGACAAAAAAATCCAACAATGAGCGTAATATATAAACTAATAAGCACAAATAAAGTGCTGCCTTTATCATCACAACAAAGTTTTAATAGTCATACTCGGAAAATGTTCGATAAAAGCTAAACTAAACTAAACTAAACTATAAAAATATAAAACTATAACGAAACTGCCGAAAACGATAGCTGAAATGGTTAAAAATGGAGTGCTTATTTATTTCTTGGGAATTTGGACCCCAAGAAAAAGGTTGTATTCTCAACACAACAGATATTTTTATTTTACCGTATCAAACTGTCTCGCTCCGGAAAGATCTTTGCAGTCCTCGATATCGCGTAAGACGGATAAGATATCTTTCCCATGTTGACCATCAGTAGTGAATACCTGCCGCAATTAAAAACAATACAATCATTTACTCGTTACCTCCGAGAAAAAAAGGATTTTACCGACCGTCCAACTTCACTAGACATTCGTCATCGACTTCTAACTCACGTTGGATAATTGCAACCTAAGAAATTGAAACAAATAATAAATAAATAATATATAAATAATAATGATAAATAAATAATAATAAATAAACTATAATAAATAAATAATAATAAAATAATAAATAAACTATAATAAATAATAAATTAACTATAACAAATAAATAAATAATAAATTAACTATAATAAATCGCTCACAGCTGCCCCATCCCAGCATCCTCATCGTCGAGTGTGATCATCGTTAGGGAGAAGAGCAGCAGCAGACGCAGCAGCGTGACTCTCGGCTTCTCATCGACCACGCAGCACGCTCCCAGCATCTTCCTCGCTCTAAAACAAGAGACCCGCATCCCTCAAAGACGTGGCTTCACCAAGCAAAGACGCAGCTTCGAAATCCAAGGCAACTTCTACGCTTCCTCGCATCTTCATCCCACTCTACCTCAAGGCACTTAAGACGTCTCTATCGGCCGTGGGACGGAAATAGCATGAAGCGTAAAGATGCTACGTATGTGTGAGAATTTAATGTTGCGAAATGGCAACGGCAGGCTATGCGACGACCGCACGCCGAAAGATGAGCCAAAACCGATCAAATACAATTTACAAATTCAACACTCTTTACATTACATTTACGTTACGCCTTAGTTACATTACACGTCCACCAGTGAAAAAAATACACGGGGGCTCGGGGCGATTTAGCCCCCGAAATGCCAAAAAGAGCCCCGGAAATGCCAAAAAGAGCCCCGAAGATTTGCATAGAGTTCAATGCAAACCAAATTTTAGAGTGCTATTTTCATGCACGCGAGCTTGAAAAGTAGCCCCCGAAAAATAAATAATTTTTTTTCCCTGACGTCCACTATCATACATCTTCATACTGCACAATCACAAACATTTGGTTTATGACAGCACACTTTAACTGCAGATCGAGTGTGATGCCATCTATACAACACCGGAACATTTGGCTCTACATCTAGGACAGTGGTTCTTAACTCTTTTTGAGTCATGGACCCCCTTAAGAATCTGGTGAAAGCTACCAACCCCTCCCCCCAAAATGGACATACGCACTAACAAAATTTTGCTTGCGCCTGGTTCACAGGCCCCCTGAAGCTCATCCACAGACCCTAAAGTGGTCCATGGACCACAGGTTATAAGAACCCCTGTTCTAGGATGATAAGGCTTTAGGGCAGGCTACTTTTGAACGCCTCGATAATTGACAATATAACATTGACGCAACACTGACTTATAATAATCAACTATGATAAAATAAATAAAAAAATTTACTTACTTTTTCAACACTACTCCGTGCATCGATTTGCCAAATATGGATCGTTGTTTGGAAGCATAGTCAAGTACACATTGCGTGAGATCAGATTTCTTAGACTTGTTTCCCATAACACGAAGATCCTTGGCTAGGCTGCGCACATCAGGACCAGAGAGTAACTCCAACACCATTCTCACATCTTTGAGGTGGTCACCTGGAAGGTATTGAAAATCACAGACGTACTCAAATGTTGAATTTTGAAGCGCCATTGTGAAATGTGTTTGGGTGCCTATTGAACTTTCGAACACACGCACGCAGATGCATGTATGCACGCACACACACACACACATGCACACGCACACGCGCGCACACACACACACACGCATGCACTCATGCCACATACAGGCACGCCACATACACGCACGCACGCACGCATGCACGCAGACACACGCACGCACGCATGCACACGCACATACACATGTGCAATATAAAAAGAGACGTTTACTACAAACCAGTGAGTAGAAATCCTGATGAAGCCAGTTCGTCCACCACTGGGCAGAGGTCCTCAGCAATCAACGGATAGCGCAGTCTGGACACCGGCAACCAGCAGTGCTTTCTTTGAAAGAGTCTTACATACAACTGTTTAGCAGCATCTGAAAATGCAAACATTAATATAATGTAAGCGTGGAAAACGTGAGTACATAAATTCACAAATAGTAATAATAATAATAATAATAAATAATAATAATTTACTAATAAGTGCAAAATTGTGCAATAATTGATCCTATATAACATCAGGCTAGAAATTCAATAATAGTGGTATTGAATTTCTAACCTGATGGTTTTAATTCAATTTCTAGCCTGATGTTTATATATTATAAGATCAATTACTTCTTTGTCCGACTGATGTAACATCATAAATAAAAACACTGATGGCGAGGAGCTTGCAAGCACGTCGTTGATATACTTCTTACGAATTTACCGTCTTTACATCCAAAAAATAAATAACAGATAACATTAGCATCATTATATAATATATATATTATGTATAATATATATATATATACTAATAATACTATTATATATATTATACCTGATAACTGGAAGAAGTTTTCCACTACTTGCATGTCTGCATCATCTAGCAACGAACGATCCTCCGCATTAGAGAGCACGGATTTCATCACGAACACAAAATTATTCAAGTAGTACGGCACACGCTCTGCCGCATCGTCCTCTCTCTCTCCCGGCGCCCCCTCGCCGACCGATACCGACTCTGCGCTGAGCCCGCTAGCGCCATCTAGTGCGTCTTTTACATCGAGCCTGTTGGCACCATCTAGTGCGTCTTTTACATCTAGCCCACTAGCGCCATCTGGCGTGTCTTTCGCGTCGGAAGCAGCTGGAGGTACGTGTCCGGTACCCTCAGAGAATTTAACGAGGCGGTCGTTAACGAGACCTCGTCTTCGGTACGGATCGTTTCGCTCGGCAACGCCGACGCGCAGGGGATCGGTCGCCGCGGCGACGACAGCATCCGTCCCGCCGGATGCATCTGCCGGGCGTCGCCTCGGGACGCCGCGCGAAAGCGCGCCACGCTTTTTTCTCGTTTCCTTTTCCTCGCGGACTCCGTTCGCGACCGAAGCTCCTCCTCGTCCGTTCGCGAATCCTCCGTCCGCGTTTTCCCGAGCGCGCGGCGACGGCGGCGCCCCCTGGCATCCGCTCGGGCGGCGCGCGAAATCCGACGTCGCTGCCCGACCTCGCCGAGTCTCGTCCGACGATCCCGCGATCCGCTCAGAATCTTCGATCTTCTTCCGCTTCGAACGTCGCCCGTCGTCGCGGGAACGCCGGCGTCGCTTCCGCTGCGACGCCGCGTTCCAATCTGGACTGCGTTGTTCCGACGCAGGTTCCGTCCGCTGGACGTCGAGCGAGGTGGCAGCTAACGCTGGCCCTTCGGAGGTGCTCGGACGTTCCTTGATAGCGGCCAACTCTCTTCTGACCTCTTCGGACCGCTTCGGACTTCCAACCTCCGCTTCGGACGTCCTCGGACGTTCCTTGGTAGCGGCTAACTCTCTTCGGACCTCTTCAGACCTCTTCGGACCACTTCTGACCTCCGCTTCGGACGCCGGCGACGGTTTCCAGCGGTCGGTAGGTCGGCAACCTTCGTCGAGATGCGCGTTTATCTTCGAGAGCGCCACTTCCGCGTCGCACGCGGGACAGGAGACCAATCTCGCTCGCGAAGACGTCGTTAGTCGGTTGTCGTTGACGAATTGAAGTATCGTCGCCTGCTTCATCGCGTCTCCGCTATCACAACGTCCGAGAGCACCTGAAATAGAAAAGTTCAAATTAATCACTTGATTCTATTTTACAATTATAATCTACTATCTACGTAGCTCAGTGGGTAATGTCTTCTAGACTAGCTCCGATAAGTCAACGGCTTTGTTCGATTCACATTATGATTAAAAATATGTAATCATTACAGTAATTTTACCATAACTGTAAATCATTAGTGTTGTCAATCGGTTGTAATTTCGTAATCGATCATCGGTTGGACCCAAGTAACCGATGATCGGTTACAATCGGTTACTCGGGGTGTTGAATGCCTGCGTGTGCGTAACGTCGTGCGCATGTACGTGTGTGCATGTATGTGCTTGTTTAGCCCTGTTTACTGTTTGTTTTGCACTATTTACTACTGTGTGTATAATACATGTATGTTAATAAAGGATAACTTGTATAGTAGCGATGATATCTCTGATTCTCATCACTTTTCCAAGTTTTCTTGTTCAAATTAAAAAAGAAAAGAAAAAGAAAGCTTAAATCAACCGATGATCGAGTATAATCGATGATCATGACATCACTTGTTATCTTACATATGTTTGATATCGGAATAGCTCATGTTACCCTGTGTAAAGGCGCTGTGTATGTCCTGTACCGATGAAAATAAAGACTACTTCGCTTTACTTTAATACATATAAGTGATTGAACACGATAATTGGTTTAATTTGCCGCTCCCAAGGCAGCGTCCTGGCATCCACGCCGAAGCTGGTAATTTAGCCCCATCGTAATTTAGACCCAACTTTTAGTAATTTCGACCCATTTTTGGTAATTTCGACCCATTTTGGTAATCTCGACCCACCAGCAGCGCGTTTCACTATAACGTTCGTTCGCTATTTTTCCTTTGCTATTTTCAAAGTTGATCGGTAAATAGCGAAAAACACGTCCGCGCGTGTTTCACAAAGCTCCGTTCGCTAAAGTTATTCGTTATTTAGCGAACAACTTTACCGACACCTCTGCAGGGTCTGTTTACACCGGTGTATTTAAACCCTATAAAAACATAATGTAGCGCAGTGTGCGTTGTATATTGTAGCAGCGATGTTGCGGAGGTTGTTTCAGATAAATGCACCTAACTTTACTACAAACGATAGTGCCTATATAGGCACACTATTCACGCAAATACAAGCTCGTGTCCGTGCTGTACACACATATACAATCAGACTGACACAGGCAGACTTGCCAATCTCTATCAATTCGTCTGCTAAAACGCGCGCCTGGGATCTACTTTAGGCTCCGTTTCGCCTGCCTGTCGAATAGAAAGAATATCAAAATGTTATATGTGTTACTCTAATCTTTCAACAGTTCATAATATATTGTAATGTGTGTTGTGAATCTTTACATGCTATCGATGCCACAGATTTACATGCAAGTGTAGTCTCGGTTTGCAAACCGGTTGTCGAACGAGAGCCTGAGCATTGACAGATGTGACACACGCGTTAACACGTAGCAAGCTCCTACCTACCTACCTACCTACCTACCTACGCACCTACCTAAAACACTTCGCACTTATTTCGAGTAACTCTTATCACTGACATCACAACTGCAAGCTCGATCAGCAGCATATAGTATGTGAGCACAACTGCACAACTGCAAGCAGTGAGTACAACTGCACGCAGCGGAGTGTATAGTGACAAGCATGGCAAACTTTTTATTGTATCAAGCTTATAATCGAGATAATGAAAGACGACATTTACGAAGAGAAAGAGTTTTCAGCGACAGAACACAACCGTTTAATGCTTACAATGATACAGAAATTATCGCCAGATATAGATTGCCCAGCCATGTCATTGTAGATCAACTGAACGATGAGCTCAGCCCAAGGCCAATGAGATCTCGAGCCATTTCTTCGTCTTTGCAAGTATTTGCGGCATTGCGATTTTATGCAACTGGAAGCATTCAGCAAACGGCTAGTGATACACTAGGAATCAGCAAAGCATCTATGTCAAGAATAATTTACAAAGTGTCGCGAGCGCTGGCACACCGAGCCAACCAATATGTTTAGAGTAACCTAGTAACAACTGCGCCGCGTGTTTGTAGTTGCCGCCAGCTGACACGAAGTTGTTCGCTAAATAGCGAGAGCATAGCGAAGCGTTAGTGAAACGCGTTGTTCGGTAAAGTTGATCGGTAAAGTTATTTGGTAAGTTGTTCGGTATGCCTTCGTTCGCTATTTAGCGAACGAACAACTTTCGTCGGTTAACGAATAACTTTTAGTGGCTACAGTGCTCATAGGGTCTATGTCCCCCAGGGTACTGCCGGAACGTACCCTGGGTACGGTCCGGTATACCGGAACGAACCCTGGTCACCATTTGATATGGTTAGGGTTAGGATTAGGGTTAGGGTTAGGATCAGGGTTCGGATTAGGGTTCGGGTTAAGGTTAGAGAGTAGGCGTAGGCGACTCCCTAGACTCGTTAGTGGAGTAGGCGAGGTACGGTCCGGCATATAATATAGTATCAGGGTACGTTCCGGTATACCGGACCGTACCCAGGGTACGTTAATTCCGGCAGTACCCCGGGGGACATAGACCCTCTCAGCGCTAGTAGTAGTAGTAGTACCGGTACCTAACGATGAAAGACGAAGTATGGCGAGGAAATTGCGTTTTCTCACATCAGGCAGCCGAACATTCCCTTTTTAGTAGTAGTAACGTCCTGCTTACCAGATTCAAAGGTATATTGAAATGTGTAACCTCCTCATCAGGTGTTTTCATCATTCATAGTCAAGACTCATAGTCATACATAGTCATAGTAAAACCGGTTACACGATTCACCCAAATCCACCCAAATCCACCAAATCCACCAAATCCACCCCCAAATCCACCAAATCCACCCCCAAATCCACCAAATCCACCCCCAAATCCACCAAATCCACCCCCAAATCCACCAA